AATAGAGAATGGTAAAGAAATCACATAATCAGAGATGATGGGCCAGAGAGATATAGTACAGCAGGTATGGCAATTGCCTTGCAAGTAGCCAACCTGGATTTGACCCCCAGGATCCCATATGGTGCCCCAAGCCCTCAAGGAGTGATCCCTAAGCACAGACCCAGGAATAAGCTCTGAGCACCCCCAAGTATGGTCCCCAAACCAAAACCAACCAACCCAGAGATAAGATTGTACAACACCTCTTTGGATCCTGTCTGAAGTCACAAGAGGCAGGAGAAAGAAAAGTTAGCATCCATTTGGCAAAAGACAGAGAACGCTGTTCACAAAACCAAACAAACCCACAGGAGTATAGAAAGACTATCTACAGGTTTTAGCTAACAGAGATATTACCTTACATCAAGATACTTGCCATAGAACCATAAAGATCTTGTCTGCATGAGGACTCAGCAAAGAAATTCCACATTTCTACGTTGACCAGGAACTATACAAACTGGGGAGGGGTGGGGGATTACAAAACGAAGTCAAAAATAAGCTCTGTGTGGCTTACTTCAAGTTTAAAAGTATTAGCATTCTAAGCAACAAAGCAAATTTATTATCAAACCAAGTAATCCCTGAAATTTCATAATACAATCGCAGACCAGAACTTATGGAAAGAACTGCTATAGCAACTTCTTACACACATCTGTATCACCTGTCCTCCCGTTGTTCATCGATTTGCTGGATCAGGTGCCAGTAACGTCTCCATTCATCCCAGCCCTGAGATTTTAGCAGCCTCTCCTTACTCATCCTTCCCGATGCTGCCATATTGGAGGCTCTTTCGAGGGTCAGGGGAATGAGGCCCGTTTTTGATACTGTTTTTGGCATATCGAATATGCCACAGGTAGCTTGCCAGGCTCTGCCGTGCAGGCGGGATACCCTTGGTAGCTTGTTGGGCTCTCCAAGAGGGACGGAGGCTTTTGGGGCGACCTCTAATCACTTTTACAGGTGTTCCCGGAATACAAAATAAATTATGTAGGACCTGCTTTGGGGGCAGGCTTGAGTGGGGGTGGGAAAATTCAAAGTAACCATCAGTTACTTCTTAATAACCATTAGTTGAATAACACTATCTGAAACAGGCCATAATTAAGATCTGGATTCAAAAATTAAAAACCCACAAACTCTTCAGAAGCTACTGAAAATAAGACCATTTCCTCTGTCTTCCTGCCAAAGTCTACCACAAATAACTCATATGCCAAACTCTTTATTTTTTGGGGGGGGGAGCCATACTTGGCAGTGTTCAGGGCTTACTCCTGATTCTACACTGAGGGATCACTCCTGGCAGAGCTCAGGGACCCATTTGGGGTGCTGGGGACCAAACCTGGGCTGACAAATGTATAAGACAAGCGCCCAACCTGTATACTATCTTTTCAACCCCTCATATGCTGAACTCATATGCTGAACAAAAATATGAAAAAAAATTTTTTTTTAATTTTTTATGAAGTTGTTCACAATATTTGATTAAATTTAATATTCAAACACCAATCCCACCACCATTACACCTTCCCACCACATTTCAGATGTTTCCATCCTGAACCCCAAACTCTGCTCTCATAGAACCAAAATGATTTATTCTGTATTGCTTGTTATGAATAATCTGCTAAAAACAATCCAAAAAAGGTTTCTTAGAGGAAAGTGTGTGAACATTGTTGGATTTCACCCAGGAGCCAGTAACGCCTTTTCCCCCTAAAATTGGTTCCCTTCTACTCTAAACCCCATCATATGTGGTGTTCTACTCTTGGTATATTAATGGTGTAAAATATGAGATGTTGCATGGCCACGAATGCAGCCGCACATGCTGAACTCTTAATCAGAAATCTTTGCTTAGATTTTTCAAAGACAACTGAGTCTCAGAAGACACATCTGCACTGGAATTTATTGGCCACCCTGGCACCCACCAGTCCGCAAGTTTTAAAAATTAGACTTCTCGGAGGGCTGGAGTGATAGTACAGCGGGTAGGGCGTTTGCCTTGCACGCGGCCAACCCGGGTTTGATCCCCGGCATTCCATATGGTCCCCCAAGCACCACCACGAGTAATTCCTGAGTGCAAAGCCAGGAGTAACCTCTGAGCATTGCTGGGTGTAACCCAAAAAGCAAAAAAAAAAAAAAAATAGACTTCTCTGTTGTCTATATAAACTGCTTATGAGCATGTAGGTAAGATGACTCTTCAAACCTATCAACTTGTTGCCAATAAAGGTCTTTGCTGGGTGCAAAGCCAGTAGGGTGCTTCAGCAACTGACCTGTTTTAGATTCTGGCATTCCATCAAGTCCCCAAGCCCTACCATGAGTGAGCTCCACCAATGGTGGTGCGGTTACACTCAGCACTGCTGAGAGTGGCCAAAAAAAAAAAAAAAAAAAACTAATTTAAAAAAGAAAAAGCTGGGGCTGGAGAGATAGCACAGCGGGTAGGGCGTTTGCCTTGCCTTGCACATGGCCGACCCGGGTTCGATTCCCAGCATCCCATATGGTCCCCTGAGCACCGCCAGGAGTAACTCCTAAGTGCAGAGCCAGGAGTAAGCTCTGTGCATCGCCGGGTGTGACCCAAAAAGGAAAAAAAAAGAAAGAAAAAGCTCTTTCCCTACCTTCTATCTCGTATCTCCATTGCATTGATACAGCCAATTTAAAACCCAAATCTCTGAACATACCTAATTCTTTGGCAATGAAACCAGAGATTGAGAAAGTCATAGATTCTAAAGCTGTTTCTATATGGTATAAGTCTAAGCATTTCTCTGGGCCAAAGTCTTGTCACGAAATTACTTACAAAACAGGCCTAAAGATCAACATCTGAAACCATAAAACTTGTCTAGATAAGACTTCTCTCAAAGCTGAAAAATGATAGTTATCTCCATCGCACCTTTCCCCCAAAAGCTTAACACTGGCTTTACTTAGTTTTTTTGAGTAAGGCAATGTGCCTCAGGGGACTAGCTTTCAAGAAGACTTGTTCTGGTGCCTATTGGTCTGCAATCCACCCTTTCTAAAAATGTGCTTCTCTGGGTTATTTTTCAGGTTACATTCAGCGGTGCTCAGGGATTACTCCTAGCAGGCTCAGGCACCAAGTAGGGTGCCAACTTCTGAACTCAGCACGTTAGCAAGTGCCTTACCTGCTGTACTCTCAGGCCCAATTCTGTTCTCTTTTCCTGTAAAAACCACTCCTCCTTACCATGCAAACATGGAGGCTCCATGAGGACAAGTGTGCCATTTTCCAACCTGCCAGCCTGCTGCCATTGAAGCTTTTTTTTTGGTTTGTTTCTGGACCACACCCGGTGGTGCTCAAGGCTTACTCCTGGCTCTACACTCAGGAATCACTCCTGAGTGGGACTTGGGGGACCATCTAGGATGCCAGGGATCAAACCCAGTTTGGCCAAATAAGGGAAGCACCCTACCTGCTGTTCTACCTCCGGACCCATCACGCGTCTCTTGATTGATGGGGTCCCCTAGCAGCCATCAAACGGGGCCTTCAAAACTCAAATTTGGAGAGCCAGCCAGAAGTGTTTGTGTACAATTCCCAGATCCGGTAAACTTGCTTTTAAGGGGGGAAAAAAATAAGTTTGCTGGGGGGGGGGCGGCGGCAGGGGATGGTTGAGTGTAGGGGTGTTAAGGATGGAACTGTCTCTAGATAAAACGCAAAGAGAGGCTCAACAATGATGTTTTATTTTGCTGCACGCAAGGTGAAGAGCCTCCTTTCTCTCCGGCCCCAACAGTGACGTTTTATTTATTTTTAATAACTGACTTTTAGGTTTTGAACCACAACTGGCAGTGATGCTCAGGGTTTCACTCCAGGCTTTGTACAGGGGGGATCACACCTGGCGGTTGCTTAGGGGAGAGGGACCATATGGGATGCCGGAGATGGAATCCGGGTCGGCCCCGTGCAAGGCAAACAAACACCCCTCCCTGCTGGACTATCTGCTCGGGGGCCCCGGAATAGTCTTTCTGAAAAAAACGTGAATTCCAGAGGAAGTGGGAGTTGGTAAAGCCCGAGCTCCCATCCCCAATCTCCTAAATCTTGGCGACCCCGCCCCCCCCCCCCCCCCCCTACACACACACACACCCTTCCTCCGTCCTGACTCAAGGGCGCCCGGGAGGAAGCGCATCCTCCCAGAACTCCTCCGAAAAGGACTTCTCGGAGAGCCCGGAGACAGCGCCGCGGGTCGCCGAGGCCGAGGCCGACGCCGCCTTTGCGCTGCACACTAGGGGCAGCACACGGGGCTGCGGGTGCGAGGCGCAAACGGGCAGACGCGGGGCGGGCGGCGGGGTCACCCGGGGCGGCCCGGGCCCGCGGCGGGCAGCAGCCTCGTCCGCCCGAGCCACCCGCCTCACCCACGCCGCTGCCGCCCGCGGGGAAGCGCCTCCGGGCCCGACACCGACGAGCGGGCGAGGGACCCTCGAGAAAGCGGGAGGCGGCGGCGGCGGCGCAACCGGGCAGCGCGGGCCACGGCGAAGCGTGAGGGAAGCGCAGGAAGCGCGAGCGAGACGCAACGCGGCGCGGGGCCCGCGGGGGCGGCGCTCGGACGGGCCGGGAGGGCAGCGCCGGCCGAGCGCGCCTCCTGAGACGAGGCCGGGACGCCCCGACGGTGCCCGCTCGCCCCTGCCCCGCGCCCGACCCGCGCCGACCTCCCCGCCCGTCAAGCTCGTCCCCGCGGCGGTCGCGGGCGCCTCGGCCGCTCACACACACAGACACACACACTCACCGTGCGCGCGCCGCCCCGGCGCGGCCGCCCGCCGCCCTCGGCGCGATCCCGCCCCGCCCCGCCTCGCCCCGCCCCCAGCTCCGGCCCCGCCGCTGGGCCCGGCGGCGGCGGCGGCGGCGGAGGTGGCGCCACGTCACACGCGCGTGCGCTCTCGGCGCGCCCGCAACGGGCCCGGGCGGAACGTTACCCACTTGGCGTCCTGGTTTCCTTAGAAACGGGCCTGGGCTGGGCTCTGGTGGCTGAGAGGTCTCCACGACAACCCGTGGGGCGGGCTAGATGCCGTTAAAGGGGAGGAGAAAAGACAAGAACAAGAAGAAGAACAAGAGAAAAGAACAGAAGTGAGGACCAGCCCTCTCGCTGCATCAGCCTTCTGGGATTCGAGACTGGCGCCACTCCTGGGCTCTGACACTGAGATGGGGGGAACGGGGAGGAGTGTGTGTGTGTGTGTGTGTGTGTGTGTGTGTGTGTGTGTGTGTCACTGAGATGGGGGATGGGGAGGAGACGTGTGTGTGTGTGTGTGTGTGTGTGTGTGTGTGTGTGTGTGTGAGCTTTTCCATGCTTACTAGAAGTTCTTTTGGGATAGCTCTGCACAGTCAGGGCTGCAAGTTGAAGACGATGATTTTTGCCCTGGAAGGATGATTTAGCCACTGTTGGGCTCTGACACTGAGATGGGGGAAACCGGGAGGGGATGAGTATATGTGTGTGTGTGTGGGGGGGTGTCTGTGTGTGAGAGGGGGGTAGAGAGAAAGAAAGAGTGAGAGAGAGAGAGAGAGAGAGAGAGAGCTCCATCCTTACTGAAAGTTCTTCTTTTGGGATAGCTCTGCACAGTCAGGGCTACAGGTTGAAGATGATGATTTTAGCCCCTGAAGACTGATTTTAGCACCCAGAGGACATTTGGCAAAATCTGGCTACATTTTTTTATAATCACATGAGAATGTATGCTGTGGGCATCTAGTGGGTACAGACCAAGAATGCTTTGATTTGGGGTCAGAGTGAGTGTCTAGGTTCTTACTCCTGGCTCTGTGCTCAGGGATTATTCCTGGCAGGCTCAGGGTACCTACCATACAGCAGTGTCAGGATTGAACCCAGGTTAGCTGCAAGCGCCCTACCTGCTGTATGATCTCTCCAGCCTCGAGACAATGGACACTCTTAAATAATTAACAGTCAGGGAGGGGCTGCCTGCCACCCCCACCCCCTACTTCAAAGGATCATTTGGCTCAGTCTATAGTGGCAGAATTGAAAAACCATATTCAGGACTTCCAGTTTCTCTAGAATATGTACTTAATATTATTCATCAGATCTCCGCCCCTAACAGCCCACTACATAACAGAAACTTAATATTTGTTCAGTAAACAAATTATGGTAGGGGCCCGAGAGTTAGTACAGGGTTTAAGGAACTTGCCTCGCAGGCTGGAGACCTTGGTTCGATCCCCTGAACCACATATGGTCCTCTGAGTCCCACCAGCAGTGATTTGCCAGAGCAGAGCCAAGAGTAATTTGAGCACAACTAAATATGACTCCACAACAAAACAAATGAAGATAGCTGCATGTGCCTGAATTTAGATTTTTGCCTCCCATCTCCCACAAGAACGTTGCTCTGACTTTATTCTTTCTTGCTCCCAACTTGGAAGATCTCTGATAGGTATTTGATCTCGAACATCCAGAAGATCTCTCTGGGTGATCTTGGGCATTTTTAGGGAATGTTTTTGGTTCAAAGGAAAGCCTGTGATGGTAGATGTTGTATAGTAACCTAATCTGAAGACATCTGAATTTTAAAAATTTTTTTTGTTTTGGTTTTGGGCCACACTGATGATAGTTAGGGGTTGCTCCTGGCTCTGTACTCAGGAATTACTCCTGATGCTGCTGAGGGGACCATATGGGATGCTGGGAATTGAGCCCAGGTCAGCTGTGTGTAAGGCAAGCACCCTACCCACTGTATTATCTCTCCAACCCCTTAAAGCATCTAGTCTGGTAAATTGCAACCTTCATAAAAAATTTTTAAATTTAAAACTTGGAAAAAATAGACTGGAAAGATAGTACGGCCGAACTCAGGTTTGATCCCCAGCACTCCATGTTTCCCCTGAACCCTGCCAGGATTGAGGGATCAATGCGTAGTGAGATAATCCCATCATCTCTGTAATTCCATCATTCAAAGATAACTGCTATCACTTTGGGATTTTTTAAAAGTTGGGGACACTCACCAAAGTGCTTAGGTGCTACTTCTGGCCTATTGTCAGGGGTCACACCCATTGGTGCTAGGGAGCCAAAACAGTACCAACAATCAAACCCCAGGGTTCTGCACACAACCTCATCTCCCTGACCCAGACTCATTTGCAGTCCTCTACAATTTTTTGGTTTGGTTTTGGTGTGGTTTTGGGCACACTCACAGTAGTGCTGCGGATTATTCTACACTGGGACCACACTTGATAGTGCTCAGGGGACACTCCTGGCATGATCTCAGAGGTCATTTCCAGTGTGACCCAGGGGACCATATAGATCCTTGGCCTCCCGAATTTGAAGCATATTCTCTATCCCTTTGAGATAAAGCCTTAGCCCCTTTTCTTCCTTATACAATGATAGCCTTGGGTCATAGTGATAATATAGCAGGTAAGGCACTTGCTTTACAATTGGGGTTTTATCGACCTCAGTATGACCAACAGCCTCCCAAGCACTTTCAGGAATAATCCCTTATACTTATTTGTAGTTCCCTCTTGCCCAACTTGCTCTATAGTATGCTCCCCCCTCCCCCACACACCCAACATAGCTGCAAAATTAGTTTAGCACTTACATAGTGCCAAGAGCTTGTCACATTTTTGGATCACTCAAATGTGTTTTCTATTTTTAGCCATGTATTATAGAACACGTGAAAATTAACATTAAAGGTAGCAAGTGCCTATTCTTTGTATATTCTATATATAGCACTGTCCCCCTGTTGTTCATCGATTTGCTCAAGCGGGCACCAGTAACATCTCCATTGTGAGACTTGTTACTGTTTTTGGCATATCGAATATGAAACGCGGAGCTTGCCAGACTCTTCCATGCGGGCGGGATACTCGGTAGCTTGCCAGGCTCTCCAAGAGGGATGGAGGAATCGAATCCAGGTCCGCCACCTGCAAGGCAAATCCCTACCCGCTGTGCTCCGCTCATATAGAATAAAGTCACAATATTCTATATGTATGTATAAGTTAAGTAAGTAAAGGCCCTCCCGTTGTTCATCGATTTGCTCGAGCGGGCCCAGTAATATCTCCATTGTGACAATTGTTACTGTGTTTGGCATATCGAATACATCACGGGTGGCTTGCCAGGCTCTGCCATGCGGGCGAGATACTCTTGGTAGCTTGCCGGGCTCTCCGAGAGGGGCGGAGGAATCGAACTCGGGTGGGCCATGTTGGCTGCATGCAAGGCAAACGCCCTACCGCTGTGCTAAAATAGAATAAATTTGATATGTCTTTCCTGTTTGTTTTTCTAATCCTTTAAGGATGCATTTTTCTTTTGGAAAATGATAGGAATTGAATCCTAGACATTTTATGCATAAGAGACACATTCTCCACCAACTGGGCTATATCCCCAGGCTATTTTTCTAGTCCTTTGGATTATTCTTTAAAGCTCCACTCCCCAGGAAGAAGTAAATTTTTAACTCCTCTTTCAATTTCTTAGTAATAATTTCATCCAACATTATTTACTTATAATTACCAGGCAATCAAAACAAAATAAGTTAGCAGATATAATGCTAACTTAGTAGGAAAATCGTTATGTACTGTCAATTTTCTCTTCCCATACAGGAAGGTGGCAAGTTTCGATGAATCTGTGGTGGAAAGAGCAAAGGCCAATGCCTCCCTTTGGGAGTCTAGGCTGGAAGTCACAGAACTCTCCAGGATTGAGTATCGGGATAGTTCCCGGAGACTGGCAAAATGTAATGAAGACTTAAAGAAACAGCAGTATAAATTGGAGAAAGACACAATGTCTGTATTAAGCTATCTCAGAAAGCAGGATCAAGAGAAAGATAATATGGTAGGTTGGTTAGAAATCCCCTCCTCACCCCTGCCCGTGGCCTCTATAACTACCTTCATGCTTATACTGTGGTATGATTATATATTTTCAGTTTTTGTTTTTTTTTTTGCTTTTTGGGTCACACCCGGCGATGCTCAGGGGTTACTCCTGGCTCATGCACCCAGGAATTACTCCTGGCGGTGCTCAGGAGACCATATGGGATGCTGGGAATCGAACCCAGGTTGGCCATGTTGGCTGCGTGCAAGACAAACGCCCTATGCGCTGTGCTATCGCTCCAGCCCCTATTTTCAGAATTTTAATTCCTTGAAATTATGTCACATAGTTAACACATTTCAATTAATTTGTTTTGTTTTGTTTTGGGACCACACCTAGTAATGCTCTGGGGTTACTCCTGGTTCTGCATTCAGAAATCACTCCTGGCGGTGCTTAGGGGACCATATGAGATGCAGGGGGTCAAACCTGGGTCAGCTGCATGCAAGGAAAGTGCCTTACCTGCTATATTACCACTTGGACCTGAAAATACATTTTTTTTCTTAAGAAACAAACATATTAGCTGTTTTGGAGTTATGGGTATGCTGTCTTGAAGTGATTCTCACACGATCCATTAAAATATCTATATGTCTTGTATACTAGACTTCAAGCGGGGGATGCAAATGTGGCAAAATTGGGTGAAAAGCACATGAGATCTCTTTGTACTCTAAAAAGTGACTCAGAATATTGTAGCTTTGTTATCTAATTAATTTTAATTCTAGAATTGTATCAAGTTGTGGCTTTTTTCCCCACATTAAAATAAATAAAAAGAAATTTAAGTTACTCAGAGACTCAGAGGCGGGGAGGGGGCCTACAGCAAAGTACAGCAGGTAGGACATTTACCTTGCATGTGGCCAACCCCGGTTTGATCCCTGACATCCCATATGGTTCCAGAGCACCGCCAGGAGTAACACCTGAGTACCACCAAGTATAACCCAAAACAAACAAACAGAAAAGTTACTCAGGGGCTGGAGAGAGCTAAAGAGACTGAGCACATGCTTTGCATGCAGGAAGCTCAGGTTTGGGTCCTCTATAATGACTGAGCACTGAGCTGGGAGTAGTCCCTGGATCTTCTGGGTGTGGTCCCCAAAATATCTTAGAGGTGCAAAACACTTGTCCTCATGGAGCTATCTTGTTTGCATGGTAATAAAGAGTGTTTTTTACAGGAAAAGAGAACAGAAAATTGGGCCTGAGAGATAGTACAGCAGGTAAAGCACTTGCTTACGCCCTGAGTTCAGTCCTTGGTACCCTGCTTGGTGCCTGAGCCTGCTAGGAGTAATCCCTGAGCACCACTGAGTGCAACCCAAAAAACAACCCAGAGAAGCATATTTTTAGAAAGGGTGGATTGCAGATCAGTAGGTACCAGAACAATATATCTCCTTGAAGGCTAATCCCTCGAGGCACATTGCCTTACTCAAAAACCTAAGTAAGAGAGGTACAAAACCAAAACCAGATACCATTTCATGTTCAAGACACTATCAGGAGGATTTGGGGGGGGGGGACGGTTTGCGGGGAGGCACACTGGATAGTGCTTAAGGCTTACTCCTGGCTGTGTTCGGGTATAACTCCTGATGGTGCTCAGGGGATCATAAATGGTGTTAGGGATCTCATGGGTTGATGGAATGTGAGGAAAATACCTTAAAAGTACTCTGGCCACTAAATATAACCTGAGAGGTTATATTTAATGTTGAAGAGAATGAAGATAAACAGAAACCCTTGTTCACTGTTTGTGGGAATGTAAATTGGTACAGCTATTATGGAAAAGGATATGGCAGTTTCTTTCTTTCTCTCTCTATATGTGTATATATATAAATATATATATACGTATATATAGTTTATAAGTACAGGTTTGAAGGACCATATGTGGTACCAAAGATTAAACCCAGGTTAGCTCCTTGCAAGGCTTAGTGCCTTACCTTCTATGTTTTCATCTCCAACAGATTGAAAGACTGAAACAGCAGTTAATTGAAACAAAGGACAGAGCACAAGAGGAAAAGGACAAATTGGTGAGGACCTGTGTTGTACACAATCAAGCACTTCCTGTGTTGTCAGGTTTCTGGCCAATCAGACACAGTGAGAGAAAGGTCCCTCAGAAACTCCCTGTCAATCTGACACATGATTAGACTGAAGCTTAAAAGTAACAAAAATAGGGTATTGTAGAAAACTTAGAAACAAATTTGATAGTAGTGGTTCTTACTGCTCTTGAGTTTATTGATCCTTGTGGGAATTTTCAGAAAACACAATACTTTTTTTTTAAATGTAGGAGTACTGCTATTTATTCAGCCACTGATTAGCTGATTGAATTTGGCATGAACTCCACCTTACTTTTTTTTTCATTTTTTATAATTTTATTTATTGAATCACTGTGAGAGCAGTTACAAAGCTTTTGGGTTTAAGTCTCGGTCATACAATGAAACACCCATACCTTTGCCAGTGCCCTTTCTCCAACACCAAAACCCCCAGCATACCCCCATCCCACACCCTCTCCCTACCTGTGGGGCAGATGACGTCCATGTGACTCTCTCTCTACTTTGATCACATTCAATATTTTGACACCAGACCCACCATTATTATTTGGGATTTTACTCCAACATTCATATATGCTGAAAAGGCAACAGTAGACAATTTGTTTTCTATTGCTAGTTGCTCCAGCGGGCCCAGTAACGTCTCCATTGGAGACTTTGTTGTTACTGTGTCTGGCATATCGAATACTCTCAGTAGCTTGCCGGGCTCTCCGAGAGGGGCGGAGGAATCGAACTCGGGTCGGCCATGTTGGCCGCTCGTAAGGCGAACGCCCTACCCGCTGTGCTATCGCTCCGAATAATATATGGAGTTGCATGGCTGCAGTATTGGCTTCGTGATTTTGAAATTCTGAAATTTTAACACTTAAATCTGGAGGGATTTCTGCCCAAACCTGCTGGGTTCCAGGATTTGTTCCTGAGTCTCTGGGATCATGGCCGTTAAGCAGCTTGATCAGGAGCCAGAAAGGCCGGGCGGCAGCTCGGGGTCTCGTTGGGACGGGGAGGAAAGGACCGTCTCCACCCCCATCCTGTGGGGCCCGCATGTCTCGTCACTGAGGGCCCAAACCTGACTGTCCAGTGGCCTCTGGAGGATGGCAGCCACCAGGCCGCCAGGGGGAACAGGCCAAGGCACGAAACCTATTCCCACCTGGGGTGGCCCAGCGCTGGTAACCTACTGCAGGGATTGGATGCATTTCTGCCCAAAGCTGCTGGGTTTCGAGATTTGTTTCTGAGTCTCTGGGATCATGGCCATTAAATGGCTTGATCAGGAGTCAAAGAGGCCGTTCATGGGTGGCGACTCGGGGTCTCTTTGGGATGGAGAGGAAAGGGCCGGCTTCACCCCCATCCTGTGAGGCCCTGCGTGTCTCGTTACTGTGGGCTCAAACCTGACTAATACCTGTCTAATGGCCTCTGGCGGATGGTGGTCACCAAGCTGCCAAGGGGGAGCAGGCAGAGGGATAGCACCCTTCCCCCCCCCCCCCCCCCCCCCCCCCCCCCCCCCCCCCCCCGGTGTGGCCTGGCAACAGTAACTTCTGGCAGGATTTGGAGGCCCATATTAGATGCTGGGGATTTAATCTGGATTTACCTGCAAAAACCTATCCTATCTTTAAGATCTCTCTAAGCTTATTTGTTTTTAATTTTAGGGTCGGGGATGCGATTTTTTTTTACAAGTTAAAGATTTGCTTATTATTGCTATTCAAACATTAAGAAGCCAAAGCTTAAACTAGGGATCATAATGCTGGTCTAGTGCTGTTTTGGGGATATAATTACCACTGGCCAGCTTCCAAATTCCCATGTTTAAAAAAAAAAAAAGATTTGTTTAGTCTTCTCATATCTCTTTTTATTAAACATTTGCATTTTCTATAAAAATCAACTCATTCTGATATTTTTTCTCATTCCAGGAAGTTGATTTTTTTTTACAAAGAGTAAAACTTCAGAAAAATAAAAAGGGGGCTGGTCAGAGAGGTAGTACAGTGGGTAAGGTGCTTGCTTGCATGCATAGTGCCCAGATTCAATCTTAGCATCTCATAAAGTCCCCCGAGCCTGCCAGAAGTGATTCCTGAGCATCATCAGGTGTGCCCCCGCCAAAATAAATAAATAAATAAATAAATTTTAAAAAGGGGGTATTTCTGTGAATAATTTAGACAAAAGCTTAAGTCTTAAAATCACGTTCAGTCACGGTCCTCCCGTTGTTCATCGATTTGCTCGAGCGGGCCCAGTAACGTCTCCATCGTGAGACTTCTTGTTACTGTGTTTGGCATATCTTAAAATAGTATAGGACTTTCTGGGATTTTTCCTTAACTCAATTATCCTGTCTTTTTGCATCCAGGAACAAATGTATATTATGCAAATAAATGAGCTGGAGGCACAGTTCAATCAAAAAGCCAGAGAAATTGGCATGATTCAGTCAGAGCTGAAAACAATAAAGCAGTTCCAGAGGAGGAAAACCCAAGTAGAGAAAGAATTGGATGACGTAAGTTATTTGTCTAATTTTTTAAGAGAAATTAGAGTGAACTAGTTATGACTGCAGAAACTTTAATAGCCATTTACTTCTATGTGATGATCAAGGACATTTTAGGAATTATTTACAAAAAGAAAAAGTGTAAGGTATATAAATTTAGGGCCAGATGTCAAAATTTTTTTTGTGGGGGGAAGTTGGGGGGGGCACACCTGGCTGTGCTTTACTTGTGGCTCTGCACTCAGGCCTTGCAGGCTTGGCATATCATATGAGGTGTGGGGGATTGAACCTGGGCTGGCTGAACTATACCTCTGACCTTAATGCCAAAGGTTTTAGGGTTAGACTTTTTTTTCTAGGTGTTTTTTTGCGGCGGGGGGGGGGGGGGCTACGGGGAGCCACACCTAGTGATACTCAGGGGTTACTCTTGACTCTGTGCCCAGAAATTACTCCTGACAGAGTGTGAGGAACCAAAGGGGATGAACCCTAAATCCAAATTAAACCCTAAATCCGAAAAGGCAACTCACTATCTATTTGTCCTGACTATCTCTACAATTCCAAGACTGCATTTTCTAAGCATTGGTCTCTTTGTGTATTCACCAAATCTTAGCTAAAGCACCCTTCCCATGTTTACCAGTGGTGAAACCTTTAGAGTGAACTCAATAAGAAACAAACTGCAAATCTTGAAAAAGATTAGGGACAAAGCAGCAAACTCCTAAAGACTTACACCTTTAGACCTTTAGGCAAATTACTCAAGATTTTTAGAATGATGATGATGATGATATTGTTATTATTTTTGGGGGGGCATGCCTGGTTGTGTTCAGAGGATACTCTCATACCTGTGCTGGGGTGGGGGTTCACTCCTGGCGCAACTCAGGGGACCATGTGGTGAATGATAATTTTAGGAAAGTTAGAGAGCTCTCCGAGAAGGCTTGAGTGGATGAGGGATAAGGAGCCCCTTCAGAAAGTATCTCTGGCCTGACTATGAGATGCTTACTTTCTTACTTTCCATCCTCTCAGCTCAGAATATAGATTTTTTGTTTGTTATTTGTTTTAGTTTAGTCTTCATTTTACACTTATTTATTTAGCCAGTGATTTATTTAAATTATAGTGAAATACAGTTACGGAGTTGTTCGTGATTGGATATCAGCCATATCACATTCCCATACCAGTCCGTTCTCCAATATACATTTCCCATCACCAATGTCCCCAGTCTTTCTCCTGCACCACCCCCCTCATGACAGGCACTTTTCTTCTCTTTATCACCCTCTTCCTCTCACTTACTCACCCCGCTCCCAATGGTTGCAAGTTACCGCAAGTTTCTTGGGTTTGGGGGACAGTAAGAATAGAAAAGGAACCAATATGACAATCATGTGCCCGGAGCTGGAGTTTCTTCGTCCTCTTAGCTATTTCTTCGACGTTCTTGAAGGCGTTCCAAGCCGCTCTCTTCCTCCTGTGCAGCTCGGGTGCCAGGTCATTTGTCATGTTGACCTCTCGACCTAGGTACACATAGCTGTTGCGTTCGGAGATGGTCATTCCGTTGAGAGTGAATGGGGCGTCAGGAACGAGGCTGTTTCTCATAAACATTGTCTTTGTAAGATTCAGCTGTAGTCCTACCTTTCCACACCCACGGTCAAAGTTGGCCAGCATTTGTGCCGCTTGGCTGATGCTTGGTGTTATTAAAACAATGTCATCAGCAAAGCGGAGGTGGTGTAGTTGCCGACCATCTATCTTCACTCCCATTCCTTCCCATTCCAGTCGTCGCATGATGTTCTCGAGGGTGGCACTGAAGAGGTTCGGTGAAATGGTATCACCCTGCCGCACCCCTTTCTTGACATCACCGATCACTTCTTTGTAGAATGGTGAAATCCTGGTAGTGAATCCGCAATACAGCTCACGGAGGATCCTGATGTATTGGGCTTGAATGCCCTGATTGGCTAGGGCTTCAATGACCGCTTCCATCTCAACAGAATCAAAGGCCTTCTTTAAATCAATGAACGTTAGACAGAGCGGCATCTTGAACTCCCGAGAAACCTCAATGAGCTTGGTTATTGTGTGGATATGGTCGATGGTGCTGAATCCTTTGCGGAACCCGGCTTGCTCGCATGGTTGTCCTTCATCTAGTATTCTGCCAATCCTATTTAGGATGACTCTAGTGAACAACTTGTAGATGACAGACAATAGGCAGATCGGGCAATAGTTGCCAATGTCATGGACGTCTCCCTTCTTGAACAGTAGTACGGTCCTGCTGGTTTTCCATTGGGATGGAACCTTGCATTCAGACAGGTAGCGAGTGAAGAGCCGAGCCAGTGTATTGATGAGTACTGACGGCAGGTTCTTCAGGTGTTCAGGTCTGACCTTGTCTGGGCCGGGTGCTGTTTGTTTCTTTACCAACAAAATGGCGTGTCGGATTTCGGAAGGGAGAACATTGGGAACGACATATCCATCCTGTGGAATTTGGTATGTCAGCAAGTGGACATGGCTATCGAAGAGATTTGAGTAGAAGTCATGGATAATCTTCTCCATTGCTGTTCTGGAGGATGTGATGAATCCATCAGGACGTCGGAGGGCAGTTATCTTGGTCTTGTAGTTGGTGAAGGACAGGCGGGCGTTACGAATACTTTTTCCTGGCTTCTGCCGCATCTACCAGTACTTCTGCTCTTCTCTCTTTGAGGTCTTCCTTGATTGCATCTCTGCACTGCTTTGCGAGCTCGGACGTTAGCTTGCGGTTGCCTGAGGCATGCGCCAAACCACGCTGGCGAATTAGCTCAAGAGTTTTCAAAGATAGGCGATATTTTGTGGCTATCTCTCTCTTGGCGTTCCTCGCACATTCATGGAGGTGCTGAACCAGTCGATCGTATTCCTCGTCAATGTTGTCAACAATGGCATCTTCCCATGTTGCTGCAATAGTACCAAAGAGTTCCCAGTTGGTGGTCATTCTGGGAGTTCTCTTTTTGAACTTTGCAGCCCTTTCTCCCCGCTCTGTGAAGTAGAATTTTGCACGAAGGAGACGGTGGTCCGATCCCGTTCGAAATTTTGGGACAACAGCGACATCGGTCAGGCAAAACCGTCGATTGAATATGATGTGGTCTATTTCGTTGTGGAATCGTCCACCGGGAGACTCCCATGTCCATCGTTTAGATTCTGCCTTTTGGAACTGTGAGTTACCATGAATGGTTTTGGTCGACATGATGAACTCAGACAGTCTCTCACCCTGTTCGTTCCATTCTAGGCCATGGGTCCCAATGTGAAGTTCTTCAGCTGATCTTCTCAGTCCTATCTTGGCATTAAAATCACCCACAATGATCTTGTAGAAGGTGTGGTCTTCTTTATAGAACTTCTCTAGCTCCATGTAGAACTTCTCGATTTCTCTTTCATCATAATGAGATGTTGGTGCGTAGACAACGAAGATAGAAACTGCAGGCAGTGAGCCACATCTATTCAAATGTAAATGTCCAATTCGGGTTGTTAGGCATTCAAATGAATCAATGCTCTTGGCCAAGTTTGTGTTGACAAGGACACTGACGCCTCCAATACCTCTTTTATCGCATGTTCCGAGGAACAGTTCTTCTTCAGTGTCGAAAACGGCATGGTGAGATTCGCGCCTTCTTGTCTCGGTCAGACCAATGATGTCATACTTGATCATTCGGGCTTATACCATCAAGTCCTCGATGGATGCATCTGATGCTAGCATACATGCATTGAAAGTACAGACGATCATTTTTGTCTTCCTTCGTTGTGGCAGCCTAGGTCGGCCTTGAGATTTTGTCGGCTTCTCCTTTCTCATCCTTCTCAGAGGATGAAGAACGAAGAACCTCCGGCTCCAGGCACATCTCTTTGATTCCACTGTTCTTCCTGCATTAACATATGCCTCAGAGACCTGGGCCCTATGCAAACAAGATGAGAACGCTATTCAGGTCTCCCAAAGAAGAATATTAAGAGCTATGCTTGGAATATCACGTTTCACTCAAATGAGAGAAAGAATCCGGAGTTCTGACATCCGTCGACGATCAAGAATCAGGGACGCTGTTTCATTTGCCAAGGTGTTGAAAATCAGATGGGCTGGTCACGTAATGAGATTTAAAGACGACCGCTGGACTAGAGCTGTTACCGACTGGATTCCACGGGATGTCAAAAGACCGCATGGCCGCCCACCTACCAGATGGTCAGACTTCTTCGTCAAGATCATGAACGATCGGTTTGAGGCCCTTCATGTTCCCGGAGCGAACAGATGCCATTGGGCTACACTAGCACGGGACAGGGACAAATGGAGACGTTACTGGCGCCCGCTCGAGCAAATCGCCGACTAACGGGAAGTTAAGTGATTAAGTGATTAAGATGACAATCATGGTCACGGTCCTCCCGTTGTTCATCGATTTGCTCGAGCGGGCCCAGTAACGTCTCCATCATGAGACTTGTTGTTACTGTGTTCGGCATATTGAATACATCACGGGTAGCTTGCCAGGCTCTGCCGTGCGGGCGAGATACTCTCAGTAGCTTGCTGGGCTCTCCGAGAGGGGTGGAGGAATCGAACTCAGGTCGGCCATGTTGGCTGTGTGCAAGGCAAACACCCTACCCGCTGTGCTATCGCTCCAGCCCAATATGACAATAATAGTTGGAAATTATCACATTGGACAAGAACCGAGTCTTGAAAGTAGGTAAAAGGGATATACATGATAACCTTTCATTAACTTTGTATTATTATTGTAAACCATAATACCCAAAAGGAAAGAAGGTAAAAGGTAAAGGCCCTCCCATTGATCGTCGATTTGCTGGAGCGGGCCCAGTAACGTCTCCATGGAGACTTTGTTGTTACTGTGTTTGGCATATCGAATACTCTCGGTAGCTTGCCGGGCTCTCCGAGAGGGGCGGAGGAATCGAACTTGGGTCGGCCATGTTGGCCGCTTGTAAGGCGAACGCCCTACCCGCTGTGCTATCGCTCCAGCCCAAAAGGAAAGAAAGAGTCAGAATATATTTATTGCATTAATAATAATGCAATAAATGTGACAGATATGTGC